AGAATCATCGCAAAACAGTTTGAGAAGGGAGTGTTTAATTAAGAAGATTGCAAAACCAATGGATAAAGAGAGAGCTGAGCTGAGTAAAGATGAGTTAAGAAGCTATGAAACTAGAGCTGTTGATTTGTTGAACAATGAAAAAATAATATGCCGGCGAAAGAGTTGTCCACTTGAATGGAGTTAAACCCTCCCTCCTTATCAACATGGACGAAAGTGGTTATTGTCCATTTGTGGATTCAAAAAAGCAACTTTTATGTTGACGACAACTATGACTACACCAACTCTTACTCTGTTGAGTAAGAGTTGTTATGCGCTCTCAAAAACGCATAACACTGATTGCAGGAATATTTGCCAACAACACCACGCTGAAACCACTGATCATACTATCAAACTTGACAATGAAAAATGAAATCGACAGATACATAGACAGAAATGATGTTGAAATTGCATATCAACGCAAATCCTTCATTACGGAAGACATATACACGTTGTGGCTTGAAAGATATCTTAAATCAGAACTGGAATTAAGAAGAAAAAATTGCCCACAAGAATGGGTGGTTTTAATACAAGACAACTGTGTTAGCCACATTAAAGATGGTGCTAGAAAGTGGCTGTTCGAAAATAAAGTGGCTTTATTATTATTGTGCCCACACAGTAGCCACTTGTTACAGCCACTGGACGTTGTCATATTTGGCGTTCAAAAAGTTTGTTTTTTATTATGAGAGAAATTACTGAAATAATATAATTATTCAAAGCCGTTATAAGTCTTGTTGACATGTTTACTTTTCTTTTATTGCTATTACTGATAGAAGGCAATGGGTTCTTCGGTAGTTTCTCGGTTTGTTGGTATGAAGTACCCCGTTGGTGTTATGTCTCAAAATGATTATGTTGAAGATGAAGTCAAGAAAGCTACAAAGCAAAGAAAATTGGAAATTTTAGAACTCAAGGATCAAGATGGTGCAATAGATGCTGCTAAGTTGGAAGAGTTGTCTGCTTGTATGGTCACAAAAAGAGTAGTTGAAATCATTCAATCGTTCAAATTTTCCCTTGTAAACAACAACACCCCAGCCTTTCATATGTGTGGTTAGGTTAAAAAGCCAATTGGAAAAAGGATGGTACTTATGATGTCAGAATTTTTTACTGTAGGGAGTATGCCTTCAGAATACGAGAGTCTTTGGGAGAACAGGTTTGTGTAGTTCCTGTTGTTTTTTCCTGGAAAAAGAAGCAACTTAAACATTGATAGAAACGAAGGCACTTCAAAATAAGTGAAAATTTGTGTTATGTATGATTTATTTTTTGAATATTTCCTGATAATTTCAATGTAAGTTGGGCTGACCTGTAAGATTAATTAAAGTACACAAGTTCAAAAGGAATTCAAAATGAAATTTATTTTTATTCTTCAATCATTGTTAATATTATTTAAGTTTAAAATAATAAAAATATGGTTTTAAAAACGTACTTTTGATACAATTATCAAATTATGACATCTTGTAAACTTTAAGTTTTTACAGATCAACTCTGATTTTTACATATTTAACAGATCAATGGAACTGATATTTTTATTATTTACTCGCGTTTAAGTAAGAACTGCATTTTCCTAAATTATTCTTACATCGACAATCTTTTTTCATGACTGCTTATTATTGTTTGTTTTTTTCTCTTTATTCAATGTGTTTATCGATGGCTTTATTTGCTTTAATTGAACCAATACTGGTTTTTAAAAATGTGGAATCGTGAAAATTGTTTAAGTTTTTTAATACAAAAGGTGTTGACCATATAAATTTCAGTGTTTTTGATAATTGGCTTTGTACTTGTTTAAAGCATAGAATACTCTTGCCATTGAATAGAGCATTCATCCAAATTGAAATTTTATCATCTTTTTGTTATTGTTTTTTGTTATTGTTTATAAATAATAAGAAATCTTCTTTCACTTCGTTTTTTATTTATTTTTTTTGGTTTGATTTGTATAATATGTTCATTTTGGTTCTGTTTGAAGGGAAAAAACTTCAATTAAAAGTACACCACAAGTGTAACTTATATTGAAATGTAAAAATAAACCGAACCTTTATTCAATCAACAACCATTTCTACTCAACACCTTTTTTACCACAACTATAGTTAAAATATGTTGTTGAATGTTTATTTCATATAATTTCAAAATTCTAATTATAATAAAAGAAGATTCTTAAATAACCAAAAAACTAATACTAACCATTTTTTCGAATGCTAGCCTGTAAAAGAACAAAAAAATGGGTGCAAGTTTCTCTCCAGGCGTAGCTTTCTTCTTTTACTTTAGAATAACACAAATTTTGCCAAATAATATAAAAACTATATTATTCAATGTCCACTTTCACAGAATCAACCAATTATGTATTAGAAATAATGAAATAAAATGAATTAGTAAAAATTGCATTGAGAGAAGGGAAATCATTTGGAACAATTTCAAATGAGTGCAGAGTGTCAAAAGACACTATCACAAAAATTAAAAAAGGAGAAGAAGTCAAACTGAAAAAAGTTGAAAAGCACAAGAAAGTGGATACCCAAATTGAAATAAATATGGTTGAAAAGATTTTAAGTAATATATTTTCTTCGTGTCTTTCCGTTTCTTACATTTTTAATATTACATTTTACAGTTTATCACAAAAGAAAAACAAACAAGTTTATATTCACCAAACAAATTAAAAGATAAACAATGACCACTACACATAAAACAACCCATTAATAATTTTCCAAGATACAAATCGGAAATGTTAGAAATTTGAATAGATGGTTGATAAACACCATTATCTCCTATAAAAGCAGATTTTGCATGTATTGTGATGGCAGGTATGCCTGGAGGAGAAAGGGCGATCTAAATGATTAAGCTTCTATTCCGATTTCAAAATACAACAACTGAGTGATAATATGTGGAACTATTGGCAAAAACGTCAAATTCAAATTTGTTTTTGTTGAAAGTAAGCTGAATGCTAAAGAATACCAAAAAGTGCTTGCGGATTCCAGTGTGT